TTGATATCCAACGGTGTATCATTGGATTTGTCTCTTCCCAAAGAATCTTTTTGGTCTTTACTGCTAAGCTCTATCTTCAACAGGAACGAAATGGCGCGGGGAGGGGGGGGGGGGGGGGGTGGCATCCCCCCATGTGCGTTCTAGGATGGGAAAATGGCATGTGCGGGCGAGGGTTCTTCTGGTTAGGAATTGAAAGCTGAAGCATCTCAACAGCGCTTGTTCTTTAGATTATGGGCGGAATGCAGGCACGTTTATAGAACTTTTAGCGTCGGACATTTTCTGCACGCTGAAGAGAAAAAAAAAGACACACTGGAAGTAGAGACTATAATCGCCTTCTATTTCACTACCACATTTGCTCGTAATCTTCAGGTAACGAAGAGCCGAAAGAGCTCCTTCCGAAAAATCCCCCGTTAATTGGAAACTGGAGAGAGCCGCCGTGTTTACCGTCCTCTGCCGATCCCGTCGTCTGCGCCGCACCGGGCTCATTTCCCAGGTCCATTTACCGGGCGCCGGCCGCCGACCGACGCCAAGTTTTTAGCGCCACACTCGTTTAACGCCGGAATGAAATTTTCGCGCGCCCGATGGCGGCCATCGATTGGCGGAATTTGGCGCGCCGATCGCCCCCCGCGGCGGGAATTTGGCGCGCCGATCAGCCGTCGGAGGAATTCGGGCCGACGCGACTCGGGCCGCCGGTGCTGTGACCAGCGAGGGATCGTGAAGTACGGAGCACGCCCGGAAATTACCCGCCGCGGCCCGTCCATGGACAGTTTCGGGCGCCGCTGCACGTCGGCCGTCCGCCGCTGCACGTCGGCCGTCCGCCGCGATGGACCCAGGGAGGGGAGGGGTAGATTGAACGAGCTGCTGAGGAGCCCCAGCCGGGCCGATGGCCGCCGTTCTGCGGCGACTGGACCAGTGTGCGTGGGCGTTGGTTGGTCTGTCATGACATGGCTTACATCAGTATGCTAGGTTTATGCTAGCTTTCAGGCGTCGGTTTTTCATTATTTTTAGTTTGTAATTTACCTTTTAAATATTACGACTGAAAAATATATCTTTTTCATTTTATTTGCACAAATTAGGCATAGGTATAATGAAAAATGATATCATGTAGCCTCAAATGTTGTCTTTTCCTATATGAGTTCACAGCGTAAATTATCATTTTTCAAACATGATATTGATGTGCATATTTCTGGAAGTCAGTCCCGTCATTTGATAAATCACTTAGGACGATTAGCAGTCGTCAGGGAACGACTTCCCAGTACCACCTCTAATTACTTGTGATTCCAGTAATCTCCCATTGGCGTTATCGATCGGTCAACCGCCGATGATCCCGGCGCTTCCTGCCCCATCAATGAGCTCGACGTTCAGGCCACTGAGGTCATAGGTGGCACATTTTACAACATTCAAACCGTTTGGGGAAAAAAAAAACGCCTGACAGCGAAGTCATCGGCGTCTGAATCCTCCGCTCTGGGATGCGCGAGGGAGGTTCTCATTAAGAAGTCTTTTGCAAAAATGACGGTCTCTACAGAAGTTAGCGAGCTTTCGTCTCTAATGACCAGTATTGTTCGCTGGTGTTAGCATCCAACGGGAGGTCGGAAGGCCCGTCAAAGAAAAACAGCTGAGAAACGTGATTGATGATGAGCGAAATGTAGGAGAGAGAGAGAGAGAGAGAGAGAGAGAGAGAGAGAGAGAGAGAGAGAGAGAGAGAGAGAGAGAGAGAGAGAGAGAGAGAGAGAGAGAGAGAGAGAGAGAGAGAGAGAGAGAGAGAGAGAGGGAGGAAGAGAGGGAGACAGTCGTGAAGTTACACTAGGATCAATAGCAGACACCCACCTATTTTTACTAATGATTCTCTACCGTTTAACCCATTTATGTATGCCCAGGAATATTGACCATCATGAAAATCGACGAAATCAAAATATGTTATGCTCCTACCAGGGCCTTGTATGGAATCGAAAATAATTTTTGCCTGCAGCAAAAGTTTCTCGAGAAAAACGTAAAAAACATGCGTTGCGAAATCGCAACGAAGGGCACACCGGGCGCCATCAGCGTTGCGAAAACGCAACGACGGGCACATCAGACGGACATAAAGTACACTGAACTGCCGTATATGCTAATATATTTTGACAAAACATCAATCAACTGTTGACAACTATTGCTTGAAAATGCGGAACCCACATCCGTCATGCTCTATAACCCGCCTAAGAGCCTCAGTGAGGAAGCATAACTTCATGGTTCGCGAACGGGGAGATGGCAACACGGTCATTATCAACCATTTACGTTGTCCATTGCTGTTCATTTAAAGTTGTGGTCGACACGTATCCAGGGTGATCCTTTCTTTTTGGAAGCTAGACAGATCCATTACCTCCACCTATCAGACCCTGCACAGTGCACACTGGTCACTGAATACAATTAAACGGAGGATTGGGAGTAAACCAGTGCCTCTCGTATGCGCGTATATCCGCAATCATTTTTAACCACCCTCCTAGGAGTGAAGTTACATTCCATTGCAGGTTAGTCGTACCCACTCTCAGCAAAAAGAAAAAAAGGACCGATCCGGCTCTAACAAATTACCCGCGTAAGGCGTAGCGCATCACAACAAATCGACTCCCAGTTTATCATGTTTACACCTAATCCAAAATTTTCATGGCCCCACTCTCAGCGACCTTCACGTGTAACCTCTTTCTCGAGACAATGCCAGGACAGAATGGTCATTCGACGTCAATCCGTCCTTTCCATCTTCAGGATAGTTGAATCCTCCTCCACGCCTCATCCCCCTGTTGCGGGCTGGACCGGCAACGTATATCGCAATCGGGCAGCTCACATAGGAGCGCGCCTGTAGCCGGGTGCAGTGAGTGCTTGGGAGGGGGGAAGGGGGTGGGTCATGGGTGGCGGCTGCCCACTGGCTGGGCTCAGTCTCCAGTCTACGATTGACCGTGTCCGGTCAGACAAATGTCTCCCCTACTTCCAATAATCCTGCTAGCTCTAAAAATGGTCTGATTAGATAAAAAGCCTATCAGAGTAAGAAAACAGGCGTATACTCCACATCAAGCAGCTTATGAATCTATGCGAGTTATGAATCCTAAAAATTATTATTTTCCCATGGGTCCGCCCTCATTACCCCTGCCGAAGGGCTCAGCTACCCTCAGAGGGGGCCTATCCCACTATTTGCCGACCCTCAGTTATCTTTTCTAACGTAAATGCTGGTAGTCAGCAGATTCTATCCAGAGAATGGCGATGCCTATCTGTCGCCTGATACCAGAATACATCCCAGTTATTCATTATTTATGCACAATGTACATAGTAGATCCAATTTCCAAAGGACCTAATTATCTCTCAGCTCCGTTAGCATCGCCGACCGTTTGATGCATGGGTCCTTTTCCTACCATGCGATTTTCAGATGCATGGGAACACATTGCTTAGTGAACGAACAGCCCGAGGCCGAAAATCTGCGAGAAAAAAAGAAAGGAGTGTTTGTGGCTGTTTGAGCCAGCAAATATGAAATGTGTCGCAACATTTTACGTGCGAACGCACCTTGCACTAAACATACCTATATACGTCCCTCATGGCATAGGCGGCGGAGCGGGGGGAGGGGGCACCGGGGCACCGTGCCCCCCTTGATTTTGCCATTTTAACATTATCCCGATAGGCGTTGCATGGAAATGGAAATGGAAAGAATGAGACCAAAAGTCAGCAGTGCTCCCCCCCCCCCCCTTAATTGAAGATGTTCCGCCGCTACAGCCTCATGGCTACAAAATGAGAGAGAGAAAGAAAGAGAGAGAGAAAGAGAGAGAGAGAGAGAGAGAGAGAGAGGGAGAGAGAGTTGGGGAACGAGGAGGAGAGGGAGGAAGATGGGGGCGAGAAAGAGAGAACCCACAGCGTATCACGAGTGAAGTCTACTGTTGATATTCATACTTCCGCTACCCTGCCAATGTGCCCATCGTTGCGTTTTCGCAACACCGCTGTCTTTCCGATGTGCCCTTCGTTGCGTTCCCGCAACGCGACCGTAGTCATATTCGAAAATAGTCACAAACCCTTTTTGTAGTATTATTTCTTAACAAAATGCATATCTACGCTATTGTAGGGACTCTGCAGAATATGTTTACACAACTTTCACTACGATATTATTAAGCACTTAGCCTACTTATCTTGGTTTTCGTGACGTCATCACTCACAAAACCTTCGACTTCCCTCTGGGAGCTCTAGGCAGTAACTTACCGGCCGCACAGACTTGTAACTGCGTAGTATCATGCGCACAACCATGCTACACACGCTGAAACTTGTCTCATCGGTTAGTCTCTTTTACACACTTCTCAAGCTTCGATCACGTCGACGCTTGCTTGCGTTGCGAAAACGCAACGAAGGGCGTAAATGGGTTAATCTAGGTCTGCCACTGTTCATCCGGTTGACTTCTCTATGTCGCTGTCTGAAGACTTTGTGCAATGTGCCCTCTGAGTTCTGACTGCTATCTGCTGCTGTCTGCAGTCGCTGCGCCAGTCCTCTGTCTGTCCTGCCGTCTGTACCGCTGTCTGCAGATGCTGTGCCGTTGACTCTTGTCTGTATCGCTGTCTGCAGGCGCTGTGCCAGTCATCCATCTGACTGTTGTCCGTGCCGCTGACGGCAGACGCTGTGCCCGCTGACTGTACTAAGCCTGGCCGCTGATTGTTGTCTGCCGCTGTCTGCAGACGCTGTGCCAGCTCTCTGACAGCTGAATGCTGATGTCTGCAGATTCTGTCCGGCCGTCGCTCTGTGTTGACTGTGCAGACAATGACTGTTTGCTGCTAGCCTGCTGACGGGATACGCTGTGCCTGGCAGTGGCAGGTGACTTATCTGTGCCGCTGACTGTTGTCTATGCCGCTGACTGTTGACTGCCGCTGTGCTCGGCCGCTGACTGTTGTCTGCCGCTGTCTCTGCAGACGCTGTGCCAGTCCCCTCACTGTTGTCTGACGCTGTCTCTGCAGACGCTGTGCCAGTCCCCTCACTGTGGTTTGCCGCTGTCTCGGCAGACGCTGTGCTCGGGGCCGGCGGCTCCGATGAACCTGGAGCCCCGCCGGCTGCTGCGCTCTGGCTGCTGCGCCGGCGAGCCCAGCTGCTGGGCTGACCTGGCCATGACCTCCGCCGACCGCGTGCCGCTCGTGGTCGGCTCCAGCGACTCGGGAGACGAGACCAGCGAGAGGGGCCGACGGCGGCGTCAGCGGCGGCTGCGGCGCCGCCGGCAGCGGCCGGCCGGCGCGGCGCCCTACAGCCTCTCGCCGTCGGGCGCGACGTCCTCCGACCAGCCGCCCACCTCTCTGGTGCAGATCCAGGTGCGCCGGTGCTCGCGGGTGGGCCGGCCGTCGCTGGCCGCCTCGGAGGGCGCCCGCAGCACGCCCGACCTGCACGTGGACCTGTCGGACGGCGGCGGATCGCCCACCCGCGGCTGGACCTCGCCTGGAGGTCACCTGAGGGCGGGCACTCCGCCCGAGAGGGGCAACCGCCGCCTGGAGGGGCCGCACCACTCCCGGTCACAGTCGTGCCGCGCGCCGCGCAAAGCAGGTGAGGCATACACAGGGGCACGTCTGCACTGTTATCACAGTAATGCTCGCGTATCGGACATCAAGTCAAACGGCTTCATCAAAGTCAATCACTCTCGGTGCGGCAGTTCAGTTTAGTAGATCATCGAGCTCGCGGTGGTGAGCGCGCGGGTGTGGTTTGTTCCGGCGCTCGATAAATGAGGCTCCTGGGTCCTGACGATAAGGCGGCTGATGAAGGTAGTGTTGGGCAGTTGGAGTCAGTTGAGTGGAACGGACCTTGTCCGTTTTTATGACCACGCTAAACTTAAGCGTCCAAAGTCTCCCTTTACCCGGAATCAACCGATCGGACGACGCTAGGGGTCACCTCGGGGCTTGCGTAACCCTCGCCCGCACATGCCATTTTCCCATCCTAGAACGCACATGGGGGGTGGTTGCCACCCCCCCGCGCCATTTCGTTCCTGTTGGAGATAGAGCTTAGCAGTAAAGACCAAAAAGATTCTTTGGGAAGAGACGAATCCAATGATACCCAGTTTTACCTTCTCAGGTCAGTCATTGACCTTCCAGGTCAGGTCAAACTAAAAAATGTTGCTGTTTTGGGTCACCGTTGGATATCAAGTGCGCTGCTTATCAAATACCGATGACGATGCTGATTTCTGGTGCCAAGCCAGCTAGAACCTCTTTGTCACACTACCCGACCAGAATTTTGCTGCTGAGGTCATTTCAGGTCAAGTTAGGTCAAGGTCAATTATATGTGTTTGTATGTCTGTGTGTGTCTGTGTGTATACTGACGTGTGCACCGATTGTTTTTGGGTCCATATTACATGAAATCATGATCTGAGAAGCTTTTACCAAAAATGCAGTCAAAAAACTTCACAAGAAGTAAATTCAGCTTGCCTAAAACGCAATTATCTTAGATGACCTAGGTTGACCTTGACCCTGACCTTGACCCCTGTACATCGTCGAACAACATGTTCCATGATAGTTGGGAGGTAAGACTGGCAAAAAAGGCCGAAATCAGGGTGTCAAAAGCTCACAAGGCCTATGGCAAGCGCAAGATGTTGAGAATTGGCCATTTGGGTCATGACATGACCTGAAAAACAAGGTCATATCTCCGAAACCAAAAATCACAGAAACTTGAAATTTTCAGTGGACATCAAGAAAGGATAGAGGAGCAGCTATACGAAAAATCAGCCTTCTAGCTCTAAAAATGTTGAGTGCAGAGCAGAAAGACTACCTGGGGGGGGGGTGGCAACCACCCCCCCCCCCATGTGCGGGCGAGGGTTAAAACTCTGATCAACCCAGACCCGGGGTCTCGACTATACTCGTATCTGTAGATGTAAAAAAAAAGATCGAGGTAGATTATAACAGTAACAATGACAGGCTGTAGTATTTAATTTAAGCCATCAATTATTGACGGAATGAACCGTTCACGCGACGATATAGCTCCAGATAGAAGGAGCCCATTTATAATCAGGGCTGCTTCCGCTCAGCATGCCGATCACCCACAGAAACGGATCTGAGAACAACCATGCTGAGGCGCTATAGTCTTGTGCAAAAAAAAAACAGAAAAACATGTCACTTATTCCTCGGAAGACTCGCCTTTCTTGTGTGAATACCAAGCCACACAAACTAAGCGATATCTTTGCGTTGATATCATATCCTTCATTCTCTTTAAACCTCCTGTGGAGACGGCCACCGCTGCCACCGAGGAGACGATGGTCGTGCCGTCGGCGCACTGCCCAGACTATGTGTACATACTCCGTGGCACTGACAGACACCACAGCACGCCGGGCGCCCTGTCCAGAACGATTCGCAGGACAGGGCTATACTAATGGTGATGGAAAGCAAGCAAGGTATAGCTGACCAAGTGGGTTCCCAGCTGCGATGAGACCTGACCGTCTGACTGACCGTCTTCAATTGTCTCCAACTGACCGTATATGGCCCCTGGAGGAAGGACCGAGTGAAGTTGTCGTGAAGTTGTGAGAGTGTGGACGCACTGTAGGAGTCTCCCGTCGTTGCTGAATCAAAACTATCAAATCAGAGATCAATCAAAGTTAAAGTGACTTTTGAGGACAGAAGTGCGGCCAAATAATGTTCAGCCCTAAATGATAGCGAAGGCCATCCGCGGTGGAATCACTCTCGACAGTCGACACTTTCTTCCGAGTGATTCAACAATTGTGTGCCCACACCGAGCAAAACATTCGCCGGGACGGCAGGGAAGTCACTTGTGAACACGTATGTGTGCAGAGCACGTACCTTGGCTGAAAATGGGACAAAGATAGACATGTTCACAACAAACTTTAAGCCCATTGCCCAAGCTATGTGGTGCGATAAGATGGTTGATCTCGCATGCACTTTGAAGTTGCAATATTCTTACAACATGCACATGCCATACCTATATGCGCTGACATAAAGACCGTTTGTCTGGATAGCGAAAGAAAAAACAGAGGTGGTTGTGCTAACGCCTGTCCAAGGCGCAATGTCCGTTCCACACAGCCCATTAAAAGTAGATGCCGCTCCCAAAGAAGGCGCCGAATGTGCGGTACTGCTGACTGTGTAACACCGGCGGCACGCCGAGGGTTGTTAAACATTGACGACTCGGAGGCTCGATGGTGACATTACAACGATACACCGCTCGGCCCCCGGCCCGAACCATACCAACCACGGCGACCAGGGCGAGTGTCGGCCGGCTGGCCACGAAACGACACTCGCGTCCACCGCCACACAAAGACATGTCCGCAGCGAGGCACATTACCGCACAGTCTATTTGTACCTGTCACGGTACTCAGCCTGTTGTCGGAAAACGGTGCTTTGATACGCTGTATCGAAATCACCATTGGCAGTGGGCCGCTGGCAATAGGAGTGCATACTGCGTAGGTATACAATCTTGCCGACATGTCAAGAATATCGGATTCATGCGCAAACTGATGTGTTCTTTTGATGATGGGCCTTATTATTTTCTCATTACTCTACCAATGCCGTGTGCTCTTTAATAATTTGTAGGTATGTACTTGTGCGCTTTAATCATTCACCATTGTAGTTTACTTGTTGCAGCAAGAAACCTAATTTAGGGGTGGTAGTCCTGATGATCCAAATCAAATGATAGCCTTATTGGAAAAAGAGGACCAGCGTGAGAGGGAGGGAAGAAGGAGGGAGGAAGGAAGGAAGGAAGGATGGGAAAGGGAAAAGGGAGGGAGAGTGAGGGAGTTGACAGTAGGAGGTAGGAAGAAGGAAAGAGGAAGGTCACTGCTACTGAACAGTGAAATAGTTAGGAAAATAGAATAGTTATACAAGAAACGACATGAGCTCAGCCCTTTGTTAAACTGAAGAGCTCCAACCAATATATTTTGATATTATGCAAAGAGAATTATGCCAAGACTGCGCACAGTCACACGACGATGAGGAACACTAAGACAGCTAAAAAAAATAATACCTAGTCACTAACGATCGCTTTTGTGATAAATTGAGGTAAAATAACGGTGACATTTGTTTACCTAGGTGGGTAATTTCCATCAAGGTAGCCATAACCGCCACGCAATATGCTGTAAATGTCTTGGGCTTTCTTTGCGCCGGAGGGCATTGTCTGACAATAAAGGCGGTGCGGCCGCGGCCCGCACACATCACCACCCATGTCATTGGGCGGACGCATGGCGGGACCCGCGGCCTGACGACTCCCCAGCCGCGCCGGCCCCGACGCCCCGCCCGCGGCTTCCAGCGGCGCCAGTGGGGGACTGTCGTCCGTGGACCTTCCACGGAACGAAGTTGTTCCACCAGCTGAGTCCCTGTAATGGATAGTTGATATGGTAACTCACCTCAAACAGCCTAACGGGGCACCGGTGCTGACGCAACACTTACGACCGGCTTTACCGCGCGGTACGGCGCGTCACGAAATCCGGCGCCGGGGCGCCGTGACAGGTCGGCCGGTGCCGCGTGTCGACGGCGACGGGCGACATGCCGCTCTCATCGCTACCGTCGCGGCCCGTGTAACCTGTTCGCTGCGGGGTCGGGGCAGACTGATAAATCACACGCGGCGCTGTGCGGCTGCCGTCTGACACGGCGCGGATCGATGGCCGCTGCCGCTCGCTCGACTGACTCGGTGGCGGGCCGCGTATACCGCTGCCGGCGTCACGGGCCGCGGCCGCCGCGAATCGATGTGCTCGTCACAAGTTAAACGGCGCCACAGCCGCACCCACATGGTCCGCCGCGGGACAGACGGCGGTCACGGCTCCTGCGCGCGGGAGGGATGGCACGCTCCAGGGCTGTCACCGGGGCGATATGGACGCCCGTCTCTAATCCGCTGTCAATTTCTACCTGCTGTTTGCTGTCATTTTCTCTGCTGATGGGCTCTGAAAAATGTATGTACACGCACTCATTGCGGTAGGTTTATTGAGAGGGGATGACCTTGATGATAAAGAGCTTGATATATCGATCACAAGTTTTTTGTATAATGAGGTGGGATGACAACCCCATAGGCACACGATGGTCACGACTGCATGCTTTCTGCTGGCGGTTTCATTTATTGATTCGGCCGGACGCTATCAATCAGTCGATTACGCTCCATCTTCAAGACGATTTCACATACTAATGATCCTTTAAATTGCCTGTCATGTTTAGCCAAGCCACAAATAAGACAGATTGGTTGCCTATAAATATATTGACGTTTCAATATCATTAGCGTTTTGTGTTACTTTTTTAAATTAAGTAATTATTGCATAAGCCAATGCTAACTTCAAACGTCCAATTCCGGCCGAACGTCACTGCATATTGATCGGAGATGATAAAATCAAAATAAAAACACATGACCTTAACTCGTCATGCAGTATAAGTTCAATTACCAAGCTTTGTTATTATTCAGCCAACAGGCCTTTTGGGAATGCATACGGACCGCTGCCGTACATGCAGTGAATGAACTTTCAATTTTGGTCATCTTTGTTCAATTCTGGTTCCCGTAAGAGCGCTCACAATGTTACCTATCGTTTTCACTCATTTTTAATTGGCTGCTAAGCGCAGTGTCTACAAGGATCATGTGAATATGGAACAGGAATCCATTGGTCTCAGTCGTGTTCGAAAATTGGCCATCAAACCAAACCAATCGACCGCACAGTGCGTCATCTGACCAGGCCGGAGACGCAATGAGCCAGCCCGCGTGCAATGTTCGCAGGTTATACTAGCAGGTCACCACCGTCACTGGTAGCACCAGCGGCCAGTCAGCGGTATAGCACCAGCGGCAGTGTGCAGCCGCATTCCAGGGTCTATTTTGGGGAAATGCACCGCTTTACGACTCAGTCCCCTAGTGCTGCAACGAGTACCAAGCTGCCACTTAGTCCGTACTGCGGCGGTGGTTAGCAGGCACAATGTGCACCTTTTCCAGGGTTTGTTTTGACATTCCCATCACGCTACATACACCAATGCTCACTCGTACTAGCGCCAAGCTTCTGACAACTGACACGGTACGTATAACGTTGGTGGTGGCGAAATTGAAAATCGATATTTGCGGCCAACTACGTACGATATCTTGTCCATTTTAATCGCTGAGGGTATGAAAGGTATGGCTATATTCCATTTCTTTGACTGCGCAAACAAAAAACACGGTTGTACAGAACACGATCCATTTGGTGCATGGGCATTGGACATTGGACAGCTATGCATAAGAACTCATTGCGTGTCATCCGTTATGTAGTCCCCAATAAGCCGCCATTGGGCCCTCCTTCTGACAATCATTTTGACATGAACGGTGCTATTATCAGCCAAGTTGCGCACTCCCCGGGGCCCGAGAACGTAATGTTTTGTGTGGGCGATCGCTCCCCTTGATTGGCTCTGGGCCGTCAGGTCACGCTATGGTCAGCTTGTGATAGGAAAACTGAGTGCAAACATCGTGTAACAACCGGTGTTTGGGAGCCGCGTGACTTGGCTCGGGACACCTTTACTCTGTTGAGGAATCAAGACATCCGAAGGATGGACAAATTCTTGGTCTCGTGATTGTAAATACCAATATACAAAATGACGATCTGTCTTACATTATCCTCCCGTTTCAACAATGCAGTAATTTGCTCCCACCACAGACAGTCGCTGCGCCGTCTCGCCGCCCGCCCCCGCCCCACGTCAGTTGGGTACAGCTCTGCCACAGTGGGCGCTCCTCATAACTCTGCCTTATTGGAGTGGCCAGTCGGCACGCCCGCGGCAGGCCTTACCCCCACACATGGACGGCAATTCCGGGGTAATACCGCGCTACTAATAGAGTCACCGCGGCGGCGACCGTATAGCAGTAGGGGCTCACCAGCCGGGGACTACCGAGAGGCAATGTTGTAATAAAGACACATAAATACGCATACTGTTCGTACAATTTACATCGATGGCATAGCCCGCATTCAGCTGCTTTTGTCTTTTTTATACTACATAATTCAAATTGTATTCAGTGCTTCATGACGTGAACAGTGATAAATTCGAGGGAGATGACAAGCTCATTTATAGCTATTCGACTAATGACTATATCTATTTTGTCAGGAATCGTGGATTCTTCTTGATGTGGTTTTCATTCAGCCTTTTTCATAACAATGAACACAAATTTGAGCTACACAGACTATCCAAATGACTGCCCATTCCATCACGATGATGCTGGTTTTGTGCATGTCACTTTGACCGCATCCAAGCCGCCTGTGTGGATAGATTATACCTGATTTATTGACGTTGATCCATTATCCAAGCGTGGGGATGCGGAGCTCGAAGTGCTAAGCTGGAAAGAAGTTACTTTTGTAATTCTCGTTTTTTTTTCTTGAATAGGTATACTTTGTTCCAGCCACTTTGCTAGTCAGTAGTCTGGTCTCTGTGACTTACAATGTCACTTTATGACCCGGTGACAGAGCACAGGTCGAGTATCCGACCAATAGACCAGCTACGCATTTCATTGTATCATCAGAGCACTCGACGATCTCGACGATAAGCAAACCACCTGACAACCCCAGACCAGAACACACTCAAAACTTTTTTACTACCTCCTGGAGGGTTCATTTTCATCAAACCAGCAAGATAAGAGTATATTGAAAGGGTAACTCTTTGCTACCATTATGTGCATAGTAACGGTACGTGGTTTATATGAGCTTATTCGCCAGCGAAGAGTATTATTACCATGTAAATATCAATATTACTCTCGCGATCCAGAACATCACGAAAACTCTTTTCATCTGGGTATCGTGACTCGTGTACAGATAGTCGTTTCATGCGTGGATCTTGTTTACCCTCGTGAAGATGATATTTGAAATGGAATCACTCAGCCAATCAGAAACGAGATCGGCCGTTTGCGGTTTGAAGGCCGCGCGCATCTGTCAGTTTTCGGCCGTTGGTCTCCGAGAGCGGATGTGAGCAGTGTCGGTGCCGCGCGGCGTGGCCGTTGGTGATTGTGCTTGCGTGTTGTTCATCGCCTATAGAGCCTCTGCGGACATTTTATTGTAAGTACCGATGTGCTAGAGCATTGCATGCCGTTGAGTGGTGCTAGTTTGACCTGGTTAACAGGACCCCGTGCACGGCCACGTGGCCTAGGTTGTGAGTACGTACATTAATTTTGTTGTGATGCTACAAGCTTATGCATTTTGTTGGTGACTTCGAAAAAGCCTTGCACTGTAGTGATCCAGTCTCATTATCTCACGCAGACGGGCGACCACCCAGGAACGCCGTCGCTCTCTTCAAATATTGTGCGCTGTGCCTTATCCAATATGAGGGCGCTGAATGTCTTGTATTCACATTCAAAGTGCATTCAAGTTGTATCGTGGTGTTTATTTACCGCTTGTGCATTGCTGAACGCTTCGTATAAATTCGTATGCATAAGTGAAGAGTCTCACAATGTTTTATGTTCATGGCTGGTGTGCCCCTCGTATTGTTTGTACGGAAGCCAAATATACATTGTTGCTCTTGAAGCATGTTTTTTTAGTTGGTGAGCTCCGGTTAACAGAAGCTTCGTGAAGCTTCTGAAGCAAGCGTCTGTGAGTCTGTTACCATCCTCTGGGGGGTTTACACTTAAGGAAAGAGTAAACATTACCATGTGACAAGGGGTAGGCCAGAAGATAATACTCTCTGTAGGAGGGTAAAGCACAGAGTAGATGATGCGTTACTCCCTAGAAAAGGGTCCCGTTTAAGATTTACCCTTTCAAAGAGTGTAACCCAAAAAATGTTACACTCTAGACAAGAGTAAATCAAAAGAGTTTACCATTCAGAAGATGGTAAAAAACGTCTGTGTGTCATGTTACCCCTCCCTGGCGAGTTTACTCTTCATGAAAGAGTAAAATTTACCATCTGGAAGGTGGTAAAAAACGTCTGTGTGTCAAGCTACCATGCTATGGCGGGTTTACCCTTCAGGAAATGGTAAAAAAGTTTTCAGTGCACTCGACTACCCCGAACCACAGAAGGACCATCTTATAGGACCGCGGACTATCACCAGACCACCTGACAGTCCTAGACTAGACCACTTTACGACCCCGAAACAGCGCCATACCATTAATTCAACCATGCCTCTGCGCGCCACCAGATTACCTGATCAGTGACCTGTGGCCGGTGAATAGTGACCAGTGACCAGTGACTACCTCTCCTCGTTGCCAGTTTAAATAACCTGATGAGATGACCACCTCTGCGCACCGCTAGGATACCCACCTGACCAATCCCCACTTCATACCGGGCAAATTATCTAATCAATGACTATCTTCTCGACCTCTGCTTGCCGCCAGATTATACCTAACTATTGACCCCTGCCTGGCAGATAATTTGACCAGTGACCGGCTGTCCTCGCCGCTGCAGATTACCTGACGATCCCCGACCACCTGGGCCGGTGTCGAAGTCAGAGCTCGCTCCGAGACGCCGCCGAGACGGGCGACACGGAGTACTACCGGCTGCGCCACTTCTCCGTCACCGGGAAGGGGGTCGTCAACTGCGGCGACCAGCTGCGCAGCAGACGATCGCGCAGCAATGTCAGCGTCGCCTCCGACTGCTCCGAGTATAGGTGAGTACCGAGTACCGAGTACCGAGTACTGAGTCAATACTGAGTACCGAGTACCGAGTATTGAGTATCGAGTCAGAGTACTGCGTAATGAGTAAAGAGTGCTGAGTGTACTGAGTCTGAGCACTGAGTACTGAGTACTGAGTCAGAGTACCGAGTCTAAGTACTGATTCTGAGTACTGAGTACCAAGTCTGAGTTGGTATGAGCACAGAGTACTGAGTACCGCGTACTGAGTACCGAGTCTACGCACTGAATATGAGTACCGAGTAAGAGTGCAAGAGTGCTTGGTAACGAATCTGAGTACCGAGTACCGAGTATGATTACCGAGCACTGAGTATGAATTCTGACTGAATATACTGAGTCAGTGTCAGGCGAGCGTGAGCTTGATCTGACTCACCCTGCCGTCAGCTGCTCCGACCCAATTATCGATCCATGCATCATCGACGCTGTATGCTCCACCTCTACATAAAATCACAGTCAACTGTCATAGCTAGTATTGTAAATGGTTGATTTGTGTTACCTAACTGCAATGTAAAAATCGATCCCATAATCAAAAATAATCCGAAATGTCCAATAGCATAATAATACATTCGCAAGAGACCATGTTTTGGAGTTAAGCCAGCTCTGAATGCCAGCTCGATAATCTGACGTGCAGCGAACGGGTGGCTGGACAGCCCGAGAGCCAACCGCGGTAAATCGGAATTAATGTCTCCTGGAGCAGATGAATTTTGTTCTTATAACAGAACTGGGACGAGGGAAGATGTTTACGAAGTTACGGCATTGCTTCTCAACTTCATCAATTATTTATACTCCGTTTTACTGGGTATACCACATTGTCCGTTTTGGTGCATCGTCAGCGAGCCAGCTCATGCAGTCTGAAATCATAGGCCTCTTGCACCAAACAAAGCTAGGTAAAATCGAAAAACCGATTTCAAAATAAGCTAATCTAAAGGTGATAAATTTGTTTGCAATACTTTGCAAAGTCACGTTTTTTGGCGATTCCGTTGTTTCTTAAGGTTTAAAATTTGCAAAACCAAGAGAAAATATTGAATCCTGATTGCCATGGCAGCCAGCAGGTAGTCTGTTCAGGTCGATCCAAAGATTAGCGGCACAGTAAATGATGTTTTATCTTCCTCGGTGTCGGTAGTCACATGCCAGTATGATGCACCTATCGTCACACTTCAGCTTATTCTGCGAGTGTTTATTTCTTACATGGCTATCCTCAAGCTTCGTTCTTACATTTCCTTTTATTTTTATTTTTATTTGATCACGTGTTTTCTTCCCTCAGCTAATTAATATTCCATCTCAGCAACCTTCTATAATTATGCGTCCTATCTGGTAGGCGTTAGTGAAGATTTACAGGTATATTTGTGGAGCACCACTCAAGATTACGTGTTCTCCCACATAATGACATCTCATTTGGACATTTCGCTCTGGCTGGCGGCCCATCGTGCCTTCATCAGCGCCTCGTAGAGGGGAGCCGGGGCTCCAATCTGCGACCCTTTGAACTCCAACTTCATACGGCCAGACGGAGTCGAGGAATACATTTCAATATAGCGCGAACTGAGGAGCTCCCAGCCCGCGCAGGAGATGTGACGAGAGCGCTGTGAGGGCCGACAGAAACTAATTAACTCGCGCTGAGTGGCGATAGAATGAAAATTAATCTGACGACATGGCAGTGGATTAACTATCACAGTTCACTAATTACCAGTTGTATAATATTGCAAGCTACTCCCCTCCAGTGCGCATTGTTTGCTTTCGGTAATGATATTATTCCTGTTACTTTATTCTGTTCAAGCTGTCGATGGCTACATTTGTCTTTTTAGAGGTTTTCCCTGTGAGTGGATTACCTCTGAAAATGGACCCACGGCCAGGGTGACCCTTCTGAGTGGTCGGGTGGCCCGTCCCACTGCCAGGAGAGCCCTGGTCCGAGGGACGGGCTTAGCCGCTACACTGGCACTAAGCGGGGCTCAGCCTCTGAGAAGCGTCAGCCGCTGATCGCATCGCGCTAATGTCCAATGCTTATCCTCTCAACCTGAAGTGGCCCAAAATGACTGAAAAGTCCTAACGAAACAAACAAAGATCACACATCCATCAGCACTACGCTATAACGTTATCCACTTTTGAGAAATCACAATTCCTTCATGTTGGCACTTGGACACAATAACAGTTTTCACGACGGGTTTTCTGGCGAATGCACCTACATAATTTGATCAAATCTGCAACAAATGTCTTTTAAAATAAAGATCTCCATCATGAATTTATTTCGGTGTTTCCATCGAAAATGTTGTCTGATAATTTGGAAAATGAGGTCTATAAGCATCTGTGCAACCCAATCTGACAACTTTAAACCCTCGCCGGCCGGCCTGGCGCCGGCCGGCGCCAGGAACCATCAGAGGTCTCACAATTTGTGTATCTCGGGTTTTTCTAAGGGTAACATGAGGTCAGGTCGGTCACCATTATAAGTCAATGGGAAGACATTAGAACTGCTATTTTGGCGCCGGGAACGATCTCAAACTATCTGGACCTTACAGCATCATGATTTTATGCACTCCTTGCAACTTTCGATGGTTCACTTTTGCATTGTTGACCTGACATCACTAGGGTCATGTAAGAGAATTTCGTCAATAACTCCTGGTCAAATTAAGCTAGCGAGTCGGGAGAGCCACCAATGGAGTCGGGAAGACCTGCTGAATGGAATGATATGCGACATAACCTCCTTCGTTCAGCTTCGTGACCTGGGGGACTCTGACCTGTCTGTGACCACAGGTCAACACCTCAAGTTTACCTCCCCAAACGAAAAGTATGGCATTCGACGCGCCGGAGCAAAGCGAACACGATATTGCCAAAATCGCGGCTCTGTGGCCGTTTTTTTTTTGCGTAGTTACCAAAAACCGAACCCGTTCCTTGGGCCACTTAACCAGTGACCTCAGAGGTCACTGGTTGACCTGAGACCTTAAAATATGGTACCAGTCGCCGCTGTCTCGTAACGGCGCACACGCTCGTTTCTTCCGAGACGCGCTAACTCCATCGGGGGCGAAACGGCGAGGGGGTCGTACCACCCCACCCCCCTCGGCCGGCGCGTATGTAGAAAACCAATAGATCTGGCAAAGGCCAAGATATATAAACCAAGATATTTAACGAACCTATTTTGACCAAATCTGCACCTAATACGCACCAAAATTGTATCAGATGGCCGTCGGGAAATCGGCTGATATTTAGCCGGGTTTCAACTGCATTAGTGAGTTTGTGGATGCCTGTAGAGCAAATGGTATGGCATAATCGTACCCACATGCGTGCACAGGATAATCGAATAGCCTTGCTAGCCTCGCTAAAAGCTTTATTTTTTCTCATCCATCACGGTTTTTCCTGTGGACTGGCCGTGCAGTGTGTGTGCCCGCTGACAGCGCCCTTTCAGCGCCGTCCAATTGGGTAGTACCTGCAGACCACTCACCCTTGTCGCGGACCGCTGAACGTGCAGTGTCAGCTGTCTTCTGCGACCGCTCGCTGCTGCTGTGTCACGCCGACCAATGGAGACGGACGGAACGGGCGGGAGCGCAGAGCTTCTCCCAGTCAACACCCGACGGCCGATATAAATGATGATCGCGCCCGGGGCAGGGCTGACTGCTAACTACCGCGCGGTTAATTAATTAAATCCCTCTGAGAATGTACTTCATTAGTGTGTCAGGCGGTTCAGTGAGTGGCACGATAACAGTTCCAGCATTAAATGTGAAGCCACCCGCGCTACAAAGGAGACTCAAAAGGATCAAAGGAACCTGCGAAACAAACAGGGCCTTTGGCAGTAATTAAACCATTCAAATTTCGGACTCGGAATAGCTCCGGCTAGGCAATTCAAAGACTTGACTCAAAAGACAAATTTTGAACAAACTCTAGGCTCTAATTACGAACGAGCGAGCGAAGCGAAGTCTTTTCAATATAACCATCGGAAAAATCGCAGTATGAGCGCCCCGACCCGGCCTGTAACACTTTTGAGAGGCTTACATAAAACTCAGCAACTGCTGGGCCACTGACATGCGGTCTTTTTTGTTGGGTAGCCCCATTCCTACCACCCCGTGGTTGACTATTCTTGATGCATTTAGGTGACCGTCGTGGCACGTGCCACGTGAAATGTCAAGGGTGTTCAAGCAGCTCTACAGAATTAGCGCTTTTGCGAGGTCTATAATTATATCTCAGTAACTGCTTGGGTGATTATTGGCTTGCGGTAATTTTTGTACGGTAGTTGCATCCCTTCTACCGAACACCGGATACTCTCGATGCATGTGGGTCATCCCCAGTGCACGTGCAAAATGCAACAATACGAGGTGACAAATTTGTTCCGATTACAATTACTCTGAAATTACTGGGGCGATTTCGCTGAAACTTGGCATACATGTAGGCACCCACTAGGCAATCCATTCCAATGCGTTACGGTATAGGGTGCTACTGCACGTGCGCACGTGCAGGGGGTATTTCCAGATCTTAACCCGCGAGTTGCTGGGGGGGGGCGTTAAACGCCCCCCACTTTTTTCGCCGGGCCATAGCATAAAAACGGCGCGCCGCAGGCGCGCCGCGGCGAATTTTGGGTACCTGTAGGGAATTGATTGAAGTTTATTGTGACAAAGTTCAAAAAATCGGTCGGAAAATTTTTGAGATATCGAGGTTTTAGTGACGTCATGATTTCTGAGTTTTCGACCAAAAACGGCATATGTTCAAAAAATCATATAAAATCACAGAATAGACATACAGACATGTCATAAACGCCATTCGACTGCCAATACCATGAACAATCAAATGGCTATCTTCGATTATTGATTATCGTTCCGCATTTTCCAAAATCTTGAACTGAATCTTGGCAATTTCTCGTGACTACTTCACGACCATGATACATGCATTTCTTAAATTGAACTTTTGAGCCAAACACGTACAAATATGATAAAATGAATGTCACCATCGTGTTCTACGCCCCAAATTACCCATAAAACATGTGCCACAGGCTGCGAAT